TCTCGAAGACATGGGTCGCTGCCTATCCCCATGAAAATTTGTCTTTCTTCAACTGCTCAGTCAAAGACCATGCAATGGTACCGTACCCCTCAACTCCCTTTTGTTCCTAAGCAGTGGCCATTTCTGCACTGCCTCAATTTTGGTTTGGTTCGCCACCACTCCTTGGGATACCACATGTCCCAAGTACTCCACACTTGCCTGAGCAAAGCTGTATTTCTTCAGGTTGGCTTTCAGCTAATGCTCCTGAAGCACTTCTAATACCACTCTCAAATGTTCCAAGTGCTCCTCCACGGTCTTGTTGTACACCAGAATGTCATCAAAAAAGACCAGGATAAACTTCCTGATGTGCTGCTTGAATACCCTGTTCATTAAAGTTTGAAAAGTAGCTAGAGCGTTAGTCAATCCAAAGGGCATTACCAGAAATTCATAATGCCCTTCATGTGACCTAAAGGCTATCTTTGGAATATCTGCCTCCCTCATTCTGATCTAGTGGTATCCGGATTTTAAGTCCAACTTGGAGAACATCACTGCCCCATATAGCTCGTCCAATAGATCATCGATCACCGGAATTGGGAACTTGTCTGGTACAATGCCCCTATTCAGAGCCCTATAATCCACACAGAATCTCCAACTCTCATCCTTCTTCTTGACCGGGAGAACTGAACTAAAAAAAGGGCTAACGTTGGGTCTGATGATCCCCTCCAACATTTCTCGGATCAACTTCTCAATCTAATCTTTCTGAATTTGTGGGTAACGATAAGGGCGGACGCTGATCGGTGTCTCCCCTTCCTTCAAGATAATGGTGTGCTCCAACTCCCTCTGAGGAGGTAAACCCTGGGGAGGTTGAAAAACCTCACTGAAATGGTGTATGAACAACTGCACTAAAGAGGGAACATTGCCTTCTTCCTCTAGTCTGACTCTTTCCAGCCGGTGCAACTCCACCAAGTAGCCTCCTCCCTCCTCCTGCATGGTCCTGATTAGGGATTTGAGAGAAACCCTAGCCTTGGTCAGCCCAGCATCACCCTGAATCATCCTCCTTCCCCCCATCACCATTTCATCCTCAGTGTTCCCCAATTGATCTTAGTCTCCCCCAATGTCCGCAGCCACTTCCTCCCTAGGATGACGTCTGTACTCCCCAATTCCAAAGGAAGTCCTCCCTTACCTGGATCCCCTGAATCTTCAGCACCACCCCTCTATAAACTCCTCTACCCATTTTCACCTTTCCCGTGCCCATCATCACCCCATAACCTCTAGTATCCACTAACTCCATCCCAAGCAGCTCAACGATCTAGGTGGAAATGAAATTGTGGGTTGCCCCACTATCTATTAACACCACCACCTCTCGGTCATCTATATCTCCTTTCACTTTCATAGTGTGACTTGAAGTGAATCCCAATACAGAGTTCATAGAGACTTTTGCCACATCCAGATACATCTTATCCTCCTCCTCTGCTTCAGACCTGCTCTCACCTCCCTCCTCATCTTCCTTGTCTTCACAGACAAGGAGAACCTGAAGAGTTTGTTCCTTGCACCTATGCCCCGACATGTGCTTCTCATCACATCTGAAGTATAACCCCTTTGCCATCTTATCCTGCATCTCCTTCTCCATCAGCCTTATGAATTGTCCCCCATTTCCCCCTCCAATTTTCTCATTTGATACTTCCTTCAGACTCCCTGGTGCTGCCCCTTTTGAAGGTAAGAAGGTGGTTGTCATCCTGTATGATCCCCCTGAATAGTTTTCTCGAGCCCCTCTTTCGGATTTCTTCTGATCTTTCACCAACTGCGCCAGCTCCATAGCCTTCCCTAGGTTCCTCGGCTCCAGCACCCTGACTGTTGTTCGTATCTCAAGTTTCAGCCCCTTCATAAAGTTCCCTTCCAGGGCTGACTCTAAAATATGATCTAATTTATTATCCAAGTACTCAAACCTGTCACGGTAATCTGCCACCATCCCCTCCTGAGTCAACGTAAAGAATTGCTCATAGAAGTCTCCTCCCTCATCGGCTCGGAAACACTCTAATAAGCAATCTTTGAACTCTCTCCAACTTTTGATGGACTCCCTCCTATCACGCCACTGATACCATGCCAAAGCTTTTCCTTCCAAACATAATCCCGCAGCTGTCAGCTTCTCTTCCTCCGTCAACCCGTTGACCGCAAAGTAACGCTCCACCTTGTAGATCTAACTATGGCCGTCTTCACCCTCAAAGACAGGTATCTTTAGCTTCCTCACCCGTGGGTCTCCCCTGTTTCCTCGGAATTCTCCATAACCTCCCATTCCTCGAAAAGGAGGTGCTCCCCAACTGTCACGATCTTCCCTCCGACGATTATACCCGAACTTTTCATCGTATTCCGCTCTTCTCCCTTCAAAATCGACACCTCGGCGATGAAATTCTTCCCTTCTCCCGACGAGATCAACACCACTCCGGTCATTTTCCAAACTCATCTCCTCTCTAGAAAGAGGCTCTAGAGGTGGTATGTCGTCCTCTCCCTCAATGATCTCTACTTTCGGATTTCTCCTCCCCTAAACGAGTTCGAATTCCCTCCTATGCCATGGCCTCCGGTGGTCTCTCTTGCTTCCAATGTAGTAGGATTGGTCTTAAACTCCAATAGTTTCTTCAACATTTCTTCCATCACCGTAAATTTCCCTTTTATTCTTTCATTGTTTGAGGTGATTTGATTTTGAAAATCAAAGAATTTTCCGTCCAAATCTGATTTTAGTTCACCGATCTCTCCTTCCAAGACTTGTATCTTCTTCCCGGCCATCTCTCTTCCCAAGGATCACAAAGATCTTCATCCGGTTGTAAAAAAAACCGCTGAAATTTCAAAATTTCAGCCGCCGATGGTCCCAAATCGATGCTCTGATACCAATTTGATAGAAAATACTTGAGTTCGCAAGTAACCCTAAGGTAATACTTGAGTTAGCAAGCAACCCTAACCCAAATTGATGATCAAACAGCGAGATTACTGCTGTTCACAGCAGGAAATAGCACAAATCGGAAGAAATCTGAGAGAAAACTCAACAATAAACTTGTATTCCACTAGAAGATGAAATAAAATAGCAAAGATACAATTGTTCTTCAATTCGAGAGGAAGAACAACTCTCCAAATCTCCGGCAACGCCAAGAGCCCAAAACACAAGAAACCTAGATCTCCAATTTCATTCAAATTCAAGATATCCCCTAATTCCCTCCTATTCCTCTAATTAATATCAAAGGAGAATTACAAAATACCTAATTAGCCCTTACATTCAAAATTTTTCCCCCACGATTTGCATTAAGCCCAGCATGGGGCCCACAGGAGTTCCGCCACCCTCCATGTGCTACTTCCGCAGTGCATAAACCAGGACCGGTCTAGGCTGGACCGGTCCAGCCGGCCCCTCCTGGGCCGGCGTGAGCGTGGGCGTAACAGACTTCTACGTAAAGGATGACTTTACAATAAAAGAAAACTTCATAATAAAGAATTACTTTGCCATAAGGGCAATTTCACATAAATGACTTTTCACAAAAAATGAGCAAGCATAAAAAAGAACAACAAAGTGATAAACTCAAAGTTTATTTATCATTTCAAATAGATAAAACAAAGCAAGAAAACATTTCTTTTTAAGATTAGGTTATGATAAAGTAAAAACCTTATTAAAAGATGAGAAACATAAAAAAGATAGAAAAAAAACTTGAATAAATTCTCATGAACTCATTCTTGCAAGGAACATAAATTGATCAACCTCTTTAAGTCCGACTATAAGAAGTCAATGCATTCCCAAATTTATCATAAAGAGGCATCCCAACAGTTCCAAAAAGAGAAAGGGGTGTGGGATAAGAAGTTCTCTCTCAAGGAATAATATCTCATCTGATCATACAGCATAAAATAAAATCACCCTTGCATGAAATTGGCTTGACCAAGATCATTGAAAAAGCTTGTACATTAAGAAGACATTGGAATTCAAGTTATCAATCTTTTATTGTGTCTCCTCAAAAACTTTATCAGATATAATGGTTGGAGGACTATACAGTACACAAATTTTTCTTTAGTTGTTGAGACAACTTCTCCCAAATTCTCCAAAAGTTTTGAATGCAATAAAATATTAAATAAATTTTGCTATCTCAACCTCAACACGAACTTTTTTAGAAGTTACATCATTCCTCAACCAGATGATCACGTGCAATTCTAGGAAAAAAAAAAGTTCTCTCACCTTCTCCAAAATCTTTGAATGCAATAAAGCCACTCAAGATCTAAAATTTTCAAAGTCATCTAAGAGAAACCTTATTCGGTCCAAAGAATCAAGTTATTGAACTCATTCAAAGAATCCAATAAGTCGTCAATTCAACCAATCAACTCGCCAAAGTTGTCAACTAGCTCATCCAAGGGGACTCAATAGAAAATTTCTCATTTAACTCGCTTTCAATGTGAAACTCACCAAGAGTCAGCAAGCACTTGTAAAACTATCAACTGGCTAGATTTTTCTGCTTCAAAAGCTAGATTTATAAAACATTTTTACTAAAATTCATTCTATTTCTTAATTGTAGTCATTCATGTAATGTTAAACTGTGATCTAAACATATAAATGAGAGTTAGTAGATGAGCTCAACGATCTAAATATCACATCAGTCCTGTACTTTATGAAAATAAAAATCCAATAAGTTTTTATATGCTTCACACTCTAAATCTCACTTTATCACTCCTTCCTCTTTGACCTCGAATTATAATTGTCACTAATGTCATCATATCACATACAGACAAATTTGAATCCAACGGCATACAAAATGGCAACCTCTATAGCTTCGGAGGTAGGGACAGGTTCCAAAAGAATCTATTCAGCTTGTTATAAATACAGAAAGCATGTCTGCTTGCTTGGGAGCTAACACTCTCGAAGAATGCCACCAAAGTAAATAAGTTTAATTTGGCAAAGTAAAATAAAGTGAGTCGGTTTAAATATAAACCCTTAAACTTTACAAAAGGCCGCTACTACATGAAATCGTAAAGCCTGTTTTCGAGAAAGGCCTCACCTTTTAGAGCCAGTAGAGTGCGAAGACGAGACAATGCAGAAGCACGATTCTTGTGCTGCGACCTGTCTTCGACAGCCTAAAAGCAAACAAAAAGCTTCCGAATTTGATGCTAAAAACTCATAATTCAACTATCGAATTCCATCATTAAAATAATGCAGGGCGAGGGGTGGGGAGAACTATTGGACCTGGGCGATGATGCCGGTAGGGAGGTGCTTGAGACGGACAGCGGACTCGCGCTTGTTGCGGTGCTGCCCGCCGGGCCCCGAGGCTTTGAAGGTGTCCATCTCGCACTGAGCCATCAGCTCCTCATCACTTAGCCGAAGATATTCACCGGCGGCGCTGGTGCTGCTGCTACTTGACAAGGAAGAGGATAATTTGATCGAAGTTAGGTTTTGTTGGGTTCGTCGTATGTCCGTAAGCAGAGGTGGACGATGATTGTGAGCCCCGGAAGTGATCCATAGAGCCCATCTGGAAATCATCCGATTCAACGCCGCTGGAATTGATGGATGTCGAGAAGGAATTGGTGCTTCGCTTGAACCTTGGCAGTCTGTTAGCGGTTAAGGTGATGCCCGTTGAGTGCCCGGGGTTCGTGATCGAGTTTTTTTATTTTTTATATATAAAAAATAATTAAAAAAAAAATATTTAAAAATATTTATATCCAAGTTTTAAAAATCGGATCTTCAGCAGTTCAATGATTCAACCAGAATAAAATCATAATTCACAACCAGAATAAAATCATAATTGAATTAGATCACATAATAAATACTAATTATATTAAAAATAATGTAATTTGCATAATAATGATATAATTATTTACACAAATATAATAATTTTAAAATTAAATACATTCATTTTGTGAACAACTAACTTCTTTATAGTTATAACTTAAATAATAAATCTAATATTTTTTGTGACATCTTATAACTTCTTCTTCTAATTGGCAAAGCTCTGAAAATAAAAGAAATATGAATAGTTATTATACTTGCAACTTACATAATTATATATAAGTGATGTATAATCCAAAAATTATCTTGATCGGGCACGAATCTTGAAGCAAAATCAAGTTGGAACTTTCAAAATAAAAATTGGGATCATCCGAATTTCAGCAAACTTATGATCGAACTGATCGTCTCAAAAATACAAATCCAACGACACTATATTCGACTCAATTTGAGCACAAATGGGTCCAACTCAAGGACCCAAAACGATGTTGGATGGTTCAAATCACAATTGGATTACCAAATTGTTTCCAAACGTGGCATTCTTATAGTAGAATTGAGCGGCTCGACGAGATGAATTTAACGAGCCAAAGATCACTGAATTCTGATATCACTAAGACATTCAAATGCCCATTAAATGATCAACGATCAAGGGATTCAATATCAGTCATCCATCTAAACCACTCCCCATTTACTCTTGATCTTCCTCTTATTTATAGGTCATACCATTTTAGAAAATCTATAAATAGAGCCCTCCTTTCTCGGGAAAAGGGATCCCAAGCAAGAGGGCAAGAGAGAGACTGGAGATCGCTCTTGCCTTCTCGCTCCTTCTCGACCACCGCCCGAACTTTTGCTGAACCACCACCTGATGCTTGAGTTCTACCAGACCACCACCCAATGATGAAGTTCCATCTTACCACCGCCCAACATCAAAGTTCTGTCGGACCACCGCCTGATGCCGAACTCCCGCCGGACCACTGCCCTACGCCAGAGTTTTATCGGACCACTGTCTGACACCAGACTTCTGCCAGACCACTGCCAAACGCCAGAGTTCCACCAAACAACCACCAGATGTCGGACCTCTTATCGAACCATCACCCGACATTGGACTTCCACCAGACCACCGCCCAACGTCAAAATTCCATCGGACCACCACTTGACGCCGGACATTTATCATGACCACTACCTGACGCCGGATTTCTGCCAGACTTTCACCGGACCACCACCCCGATGCAGGAGTTTCATCGAACCACCGCCTGACACAGAAGTTTTCCAGACAGCCACTGGACGTCGGAGTTTTGCCAAACCACCGCACGATGCCTAAGTTCTACCAGACCACACCCCGACATCAGAGTTCTGCCGGACCACCGCCCGATGTCGGAGTTCTACCAGACCACCACCTAACGCATGAGTTCTATCGGACCACCGCATGGCGCTAAACTTTAGTTCGGATCATCGCCTAATGCCAGACTTCCACCAGACCACTGCCCGATGTCGGACTTCCACCAGATCACCGCCTGATGTTGGACTTCCATCAGGACCACCCTCAACACTAGACTTTCACCGGACCACCAGCCGACGTCGGAGTACCGCCTGATGCCTTTGGACCACCGCCCAATGCCATCGGACCACCGCTCGATGTTGGAGTTTTGCCAAACCATGGCCAGACCACTGACTGAGGCCTGAACTTTTTCTAGACCATCGACAGAAGTCGGAGTTCCGCCAAACCACCAAATAACACATGGACTTCTGTCGGACCACTGCCTTATGACTATGGTCTTTCAAACTCATATCTCCTACCGACTACAGCCCTTCCAACTTCCATCACCTACTACGGTCCTTCAGGCCTCCATCATGAGATAACAATTTCTTACCCATATCTTCTACCAACTATAGTCCTTCTGACCCCCGTCACGTACTAAGGTCCTTCCGAACTCCATCACCAGACAATGGTCTTTTTGACCATTGTCTACTGCTGACAATCGTCATTCTGACCTTCGTCTCCTATTACGGTCCTTTTGACCTCCATCACCAGATAACAGTCTTTCCAACCCCTATCTTCTGCTTACTATTGTCCTTCTGACCTCCGTGGCCTACTATAGTCCTTCCGACCTCCATTGCTAGATAATGATCTTTCTGAACCTATCTCCTACCGACTATGGTCCTTCTGACCTCCGTCACATACTATGGTCCTTCCGACCTCCATCGCCAGACAACGATCTTTTTGACCCCTGTCTACTACCGACTATGATCCTTTCATACTTCTCCATGTACTACAATTCTTCCAACCTCCATCTCCAAACAACGATCTTTCTTACCACTATCTCCCGCCAACTACGATCCTTCCTAGGAGAGAAGAATTACATTTAAAGAATCACAAATCCTTACATTATTTTTTCTCTGAGAGAAGAATTGCAAAAAATAAGTCCTCATAGAATTTTTCTTCTGATTTTTCTTCTTTTTCTTTTCTTTGTCAAGGTAAATGTAATATATTATTTTGGGAAATATATTGTAATAATTCATCAAAGTGCATTGGAGATGAAAAGGGAATCTTAACAAAAGCTTGGCTAAATTTAGGTGTGTTTGTATGATTGTATCTTGATGATGTAGCACACATGTTCCTAGGAGTATTCGGCAACATATAAGACCTCTAGCACTATCTTTCTATATCGGAATTCTATTAGGACTTTTCTATTTCAGTAATTAGAAATATCATTTTATTATGACTTTGGTAGACCTGATATAGTATAATATTATTAATAGATGTACTGGACAAAAGGAAAAGGGGATGATATACAATTACTTGTATTTGGTCTGTTGACGAATATTTTTGTATCGACCTGATCTAGATCTAATCAATTCAAGCCCGAGTAGGCTCGATCGTGCTCGATCAACTCAATTAAATGTTGTCAAAGCAAAATCATCCCAAATTAAACCTCAATTAAATTTAATTAAATTAAATTTAATTAAATTAAATTTAATTAAATTAAAATCAAATCAATTCAAATTGAACCCAATCGAGCTTCATCGAGCCCAATTTCACATAATTTGAGGTAATTTGGCGCTGATTAAAGTTTAATTTCACAAAATTAACTTGATCAGACCCAATCGGACCCAAACTGTCTCAAATTGGTTTAGGTTGAGTCCAATTCGAGCTCAATTTCAACTCTAATTGCCAAATTCATGTTCATTTGACTTCCCAAATCAATAAATCAAGTGAATGGCTCATATTTCATTTGAAATCTTATTCAATTTCATCTCAATATCCCTCATTTTGTATGTGAGATGCCTGATTGGGCATTTTGGGTGGTGGGCTGCTGCACATGCTCTCCAAGAGCACACAAGGGAGAAGGGGGGAGGCTCCGCCGTGAGTGGTTCATCCATCCTATGCGAAGTGAAAGAGGTAGAGAGAGGGAGGAGTCGGGGCACCTCCTACATGTCGTCTGTCCCAACAGTCCCAAGTAGAGCGGAAAGGAAGAGAGTCGTTTCGGCTCTTGCAGCTCCCGCACCCGTCTAGGTGAGAAGAAGAGGAGACGAGCCTCTTGTGTGCACCCTTGCTGTTCTTTTCTTCTTTCTTGGACCAAAAGAGGGAAATACCTCTATGTTTTCCTCTATTTCTCTAAGTGGAAGAGCATAAGCATACTCTTTTCCTCTTCTCAAGACAAAAGGGGAGTGTTGGAGGATAGTAGAGATACTTGGAAGCTGTTTACTTGCTGTAGAGACTTCTTCTCCCTTTTCCTTCATCTCTGACAACCTCTTGATGGTAAAATCAGTATCCATCAACCTTCAAACATCAAAGATAGCAATCTGGAACATCTTTGACAACATATCTGTCTTCCGAAAAAGCTTGGACAATAGCTACAAAGCATCTAGGAGCCTTCAAACATCAAGGACAACAATTTAAAGCGCTTAGGATAGCAAATTCTTCCTCTGGAATAGCTTGGACAGCAACTATGCAGCATCTAAAGGCTTTTAAACAATGAAAACTGCTGTTTGGAGTATTATTGGATAACAAGTTCATCCTCCATAGCACTTTGGATAGCAAACTCGCATCCGGAGTGGCTTGGATAGCAGTGGTGACATCCGGAGAGGCTAGGACAGTGGTTTCCTTCTTCGAATAGCTTGGACAACAATTTGGAGCACTTGGACAGCCCGGGTGAGGTAAAATCCTAAAACTTAAGAAAAACCCTAAGGGCCCCCCTAGCCTTTGATCTGTGGTTGACGTTCCCAAGTCCTAGGTCCTCTAGAGACTTAATTGTTGCTTCCCCAAAACCATTCATTTGTTATCCTCCCCGTAAAACAGCATAAATCTAGTGATTTTCATTTGTTTGCTTTCTTGGGAGAGCCAAATGGGCATGCCGATATGCATAGGGGCGTTGGATACTCCAATTGCATGAAAAATAGCATCATGTTGCTTTCCAACACCTTCACCTATAATTAAACCCTAAGTTAGGTGACTTTATTCGATGCCAAATCGAATGTTGAGGTGTAGAATTCTTCTCTAAATGTGGCATAAGTTGTTTGACCTCTAAATTTGTATGTTATGACAAAATTAAGGCATGCATATAGAAGGTTTGTATTTCCATGCGACTTGTGATCTTCTCCAAGTTTATTAGATGTTAAAATGTGTGTTTCAATTATTTTATGAAGTCATGGGGTCTTTCATGAATATTTATGGTTTATGCTTTAAATCCCATAACGAATTGATTAATTGAAACCATCTTTGAAGTTTCTCCAAATTTGGAGAGCCAAAGCAAGTAAATTTTCAAATCAAATGCACTCTTTCCTAAGTTTTCCTTATATCATAGCAAATTGATTTTTAAGATCTATCGATGAGAATTCAAGTGATGATTTACTTACATGCCTCTAGGTTTC